TTTTGTTAGACTGACTTCAATGGTTAATCAATACAAGTTACAAAATATGTAAAATGACAATTGCATTAGTAAAATTATTCGTGTTACTAGTCATTTTTTGGAGGCACTGTACAAAGTTTGTATCATTTCATTCTAATCCCCCTCTCTTATTCACTTTGTCACTTATTATTTACTCAGAGTGATAGCGTTCAGACTAGCTTAGCATGCCTCACACTATCGAATCACAAAGCTTGCTTATGTCATTAAAAAATAAAATATCCTTCCTCTGCAATTGGGACTATTAATAAATTCTCTGTATTTTTTTTAAGTTGCCAATATCATCGTACAGTTGCATGCATTTTGAATTCGATTGTTCGGAATGGCATCTCGTCGTCAGAGTCTAAGTCATCTTGAACACTTTTCCTGTGTATATAAGAGGGGAGGTGGGGAAGGAAGATTCGTTAATAAGAATAAATCGGCTGCATCCCAATAACCCATATAATATTCCAATGGTTGAACGTACAGTTTTGGTGCAAATACTTTAATCTGACGTATACGTGTATCCTTCCCATTCTGGTGATTGGATTTTATACAAATTTGAAAGAGATGGGCACCGATAGGACGATTTCTGCAAATCGAATTTAGTTAAAGGAATGCGGATGCATAATAACCAACATTAATATAAATGACATACTTCATAAGATCGGGGCTCAGTTGTATGTCGATCCAGCCAGTTGGTTCAGATAATTCCATGGTTCTAAGATCCTTATAGATTCGAAATACTCATGAATTACGTGTCAACAAGCAAAAGTTCGATTTAAACAAAGCAGATCCCACTCACTTGAAGATCAGCAAAATTTGTCCCTGCTCTAACTGTTATCTTGCTAGGAGTATAGCTCTCGTCTTGTTTATGATCGATTTGCAAAGAGATTTGCTGTATCCACGAAATGATGATCAGAATATCTTTAATTGAAAGAAAAAAAAAAGAAAGAGTATTATAAATCATAAACATACCGAAACAAAGACTTTCTTCGGAAATTGTATATTCACGAGGTGAGGCTGTGATCCGTCTGATCTAATTTAAAAACTCACCAGTTGATTCTGTCATGTTAACAGCTAAATCACAGGACAGATTACAAGATGGAATTTATTTCATTCTTACTGCCAATAAGTACCGAGCTCATCGTCTCTTAGGTTTTCCAAATCGTTCCCTGGTTTCCAACTCGAAAGTGACCAGGTTGCAAGCGAGCCTATTTCGTACAAATCTATAATATTCGTTTTCATGTCAGAGCTCCACTCTATGTAATAACTTAACGTAATAACAAAAGTAGCGCGCACCGTCATAACTGATGCTTGCTTTGGAATCCTTGTATTTTTCGATTATGGTTTCCGGATCAATGTCGTTTTTCATGACGAAAAGTGTTTGGTTATATATATATTAATATGTGGGGTAAAGTAAAAAGTAAACATTCAGGGGTCGGGTTTATCAAAAGTAACGTGATTTCAAAATGTGACACAGAATATCTTTAGTTAAGTATCCGAGCAATTTTGTCAATAACTTTCTTTTTGCAGGATTAACGAAAGTCTTTTTACGGAAAGTTCCGTAAATGCAAATATTTTGGGGTTGAAAGCGAAGAGTTGAATTTCTTAATTAAAGGCAAAATATTCGCGTGCTTGACATATTGAAAACATTAAGATGATAAATTAAGGCAACATAGCGATGACAGATTGGTACGCTAAACCTCCAATATTAAAAGTAAAATCTCGGAATGAAAAAAATAAACCAGCGATTATCTCAAAATGTAATTGGATACGTTTCATAATGGTGAATAAAATTATGCGCGCGTAAGTTGTCTCAGCCTAATAGAAGGTATCGAAGTTTTCAGAAGAGAAAACGCCTAGCAAATACTAAATATTAATAATATGGTAAAAACTGTAATAATTTGGGACTAAATGTAAAGTAGCGAGTCTTACTAAACAAATAACATGTTAAAAAATTATTTTAATGTCTTGCATCAATATGTTAACAATATTTTAAATATGTGAAAAACTTCTAGTCTTACATTTTAAGACTTCAACAAACCGGCCTGGAATTTGGTCGGCTAACTTTCTACTTGTGCGGTACGCAATTAATGTAATTTCATATACCAGCGCGGTACTATGTGCATCGTGCTGCTTGTCGACAGGCAATTCAGAAAATCATGTTGCTGTCCCTTGACTTAATTCTCAATTGACGAAACAGAGAGGGTAAACGGAAATCGCTCGCCATTCGAGCGAAATAGTAAACGCGATATGATCGTCGTGCAAACTGTTGGAAAAGCTTTACATGAAAGTATGTAAAGTAGAAGTCAAATATTGTTTTATTATTGTAGCATGTTAGCAGCCTGTTTCTCTTGAGTGTAAAATACAAGCTTTCTGAACGAAACCTCAAATGGTCATATGACATGAATCAATCATAAATATCCCATTGGCTCGCCATACGCATACGGTAAATTTCTAAATTCTGTGCAAGAAGCCTCCAGTTTCAAATTGTTCTGGGATGAGCTCGTTATTAGGACTTAATTACTACGATGAAGAAGAAGAGGAGGAGCAGCAGTCAAATCATGCGACTGATGACACCGAACAAATGATATTAGACAAGATTGAAGGTATATATATATATATTTCCTACTTTTTGAGAGAACGATTTGTTGCATAAAAATGTACTGTATCATACATTCTACTTTTTACAGTTGTAAAAGCCGATCACGCCGACGAGAATGAAGAAGTTCAGTCGCAAAAAAACGTAGTATGGTTTCTTGCTTGTGTTTCTGTGAAAGAGTTGTTGTTTTCTTTTGGAACGGTGTTTTTGGTTGACAGAGACTACAAATTTGGTTCCTAACAGAGTGCCTCTATGTCCCAAGCAAATAAGCCTGCAGGTAATTAAACCTGGGAAGTCGAATCACCGACAACTCCAAATGCGACTTTAAGCTGGTGTGTTTGATTTATTGATCCCAACACTTTCGATGAATTCTATTTTACCTTTTACACAAGTCCTTGCGCGATTTATAATTTTTTTTTTTTTTTAAAAAAAAAAAAAGGAGGCGACCCGAGTAATTTTATCTTTAATTTCTAACATCCCAACTTGATTACATAGAACGCAATTTCGAAAGCATTTCGCTAAAGTCGACATCCCCGACAGTATTACTTTCTCAAAAGAACTTACCTCCGGCACCAACAGATTTCTCTACCCTCATTCGACGACGTCAAAACCATGCCGGACAAACAAAGGCTCACTACCGACATCACAATTCAGCAGATCAACCGAGAAACGAGACAACGTCCAGAACACCTTCTCCTAGAGCACAAAATTCTCCCTCGATGAGCATCGATGGTAGACGAGGTGAGGGCGTATCAGAATCACCCCACGTAAGACATGGCGATGGGGATGTCAGTCCAGAGATTACGACTTTTGTGCAGGCGATGCAGATAGATGAGGTAGAGTACGAAGCTAAGAAGGAAGTGCTTTTGAAAAAGTTGTTGAGGCCAAAGTCGATAGAAGGTCTTGAGAATTGGGGGATTCCAGCAGAGCCCGATACAGAGTGCGATGCCGAGTTACAGGTATGAGAATAGTGTTAGTTCAGCCCGTCCCATACAAAGTCTTTGTTATACATGCAAGAAAACTTCCCATGCATTCTATAATTTTTATAACACATTATTTCATCTTTCACATACAATAGAACAAAATTGTTCAGTATCGTCAATTAAAGGATAAAGGAATACTTTTCAACGAAAATCTTTTAAAGAACAAAGCATTCCGTAATCCTCACATATACGAAAAACTGGTAGAATTTGTGGAACTGGACGAAACTGGATCGAACTTTGACAAGTCTGTATTCGATCCATATGGCTTCCCACCAGAATCGTATGCCGAAAAATTGGGTAAAGCAAATTTAAGACAATTATTCTTTTTTACACGTCTCGATTACAGAGAACTGCTTGTCTAATCGTATCATTCTAATGGAATATAACGCTTGCTTTCTGTCTTATGAGCCGAAACTCAAAAGCGCGTAGTGGACGAGCGCACGATGGCGCAACAACAGCAGCATAGGAATCAGATCCAGTTTGTCGGTGCAGCAGCAGTTGCAAATGCGAGCGTATCGAGAGCGAGACATGTTATGCAGAGTCTTGCTGCTAGAGTTGAGAAGAATGCATCTAGTTCAGGTAGTTCGGTGTCTACAGCCATTTCTGCAAATATCAAATCGACTTCCGGTACGTATAATTCGTATGTATATTCCTTTTGTTTCATTACCTTCAAAAAAAATCGTTTGTTTTTTCTTTTTCTTTTCTTTTTGCATTGTTTTTTTTTTGGATTATTGTCTACGACCATTTCACATAGGGAAGAAGCGCTCTAGCAAATGGGATGTACCTGCATCCGAAGTATCACAACAATCAAGCGAAAAACGCCATGATCGCCACAGCCACGACGGTAAGCATAGTCTCGGCTTTTATAGTTTTGATAAAGAGAATGTTCTCACTTTATGTTTAATAGGAAAGAGACGGGGCAGTAAATGGGATGTTCCGGCGACTCACGTGTCGTCTTCATCGAGGTCAAGTGACCGACGGCATGATAGTAGAGATAGTAAGCGAACTAGGGATTGATTGTTTCAGATAGATGTAGCAATTAGATGGGTTATGTGAAAATTTTTTTAGTAGATTTTGCGGTAATTATTATCAAGCATAAACTAAACGGATAAAGTTTTTCGAGACTTTCTTGTCTGCGATAGTACGCAGAGCACATTAAATACGGTTCACGTCATCAAAAGCAGAACAATTGGGAGAGAAAATCGGATTTAAATATTTATTTCATCACGTAAAACGTGAATCCCATCTATCGTCAATTCATTGGTAAAATCGCTTGTTATTCTTTAAATATCTCTTTGAAAATCTCCTTCACTTTTTCATAAACTTTCTCTGGAGTATCTACACATAATACAGTCTTTACTTTGCCTTTTTTCTCAAAGTATTGCACTACCGGATAACTCGATTCGACAAATGTCTTGAATCGCTTCCGAATAGTTTCTATATTGTCATCAACACGCCCGCTCGTTTCACCACGATGGAGGAGACGCGTAAGCATGACTTCCTCAGGACATTCGAAATATAAAACAGACTTTGATTCACAAACCTAATAAAAGATAAAAGTCGTTAGCGTACTGATTAAAATTAATTGCATGGTGAGAGATCAATGATATCAATGTTGTGCTATATCAGCAAACGTTAATCAAGCACAAGTTATCACTACAACAATTCTAGTAGGGAAACTGTTTGTCAATTTCCAAGTAGATGTAGTTTTGCGTAGAGAAATACTTACAGTCTCTTCAAATTTAACGGCTTGATCCATTTTTCGCGGAAACCCATCGACCAAGAACCGAGTCCCGCCATCCTCACGCATGGCTTTCTCGAGTAGGGCAATAGTAATTTCCATGGGTACGATTCTACCCTCCTTGATGTATGTATTTATGAGTTCACCAAACTCTGAACCGGGTCGCCGCTGTTCAGCACGGAGCAGATCACCAGCTGACGTTAAGCAGATGTTCCAATTATTTGGTGATAACTGAAATCGATGAAATTATATAAATACGTGTGTGAATGCTTACCAGAAAGGTGTACGAATCCAAAATCCCTAACAAGATTTTGACATTGAGTCCCTTTGCCGGAACCGGGACCGCCTGATTGGATAATTACAGAGAGAATGGTTTTTAATCACCAGGACTAATTAATTTCTTGAGAATTCGCACATCAAAAGAAATCAAAAGACTCACCTAGTACAAAGACGACGGTATACTTATCCTTGTCAAAAGCGGGCTTTGTACGCGATTCGAGTTTTTGTTCTATGGCTTTTTTTTGTCCTTCTGCTCGGCATTCCGGACGTTGTCGTGTTTCCCATAAATCATAAATAAAAAAAGCCATAAGACACTCTCAACAACTCTTCAAACATATCTTCCAGCAGCCAATACCTCTGGACTTCACTAAAACGAGATACGCTGACAAACCGACTGATGCGACAGCCAGTATGGCTATGAAACTTGGTTTTCTTTGTTGACCTGCACCTGTGGCCTTGCTTGCTTCATCGGTCGTTGGTGGACGATATCGAATGGGAGTTGTAGTAATAAAGCGGAAGGGGATTTTGTGAGGAAAGTGGGATGTCTGTTTGCTTATGTAGGAACGCACAGTGATTTGGGGTCGAAGAGACGCAGTTAACCTTGCAGAAGCAGTGCGGAACATGGGTCTTGTGAGAAATAGAAAAATATAGAGGAAAAAAATTAAAATTAATTGTTGGAAAGTGATTGGGTGGTGTTTATACTGTAGGTCTGTAGGGCTTGTATATGCAAAATGTCGATCACGCCGATCTTACATAATCACCTTGGC